TAAAACGTACAACAAAAATAAGACATTATTTAATTAGAAATGCTATAAATTGTTTTATGAATAAAACATATTATGGAAGAATAGTTTTTATTTAAAAAAATAATTAGAATAATTTATAAACTTTTAAAATTTTACATTAATCTGTAGTGGTCAAGTTATATAGTTATTAAATAAAAAAAACTATATTTACTAACAATTCAGCGATTCCCGGTGGCTTAAAAATAATTTTCAATTTTTTCTTTTTTTGTGTGTGTGTGTATAACAGTGACTATTTTTGTAAATGCGGACTCCCATACGCGATATTATCAGAAAATAAGAGCGGTAACTACAGTAAATTTAAAATTTATTGGTAATTTCCCTAACAAGTGTAAAGAAGACTAAAAAACCAAAGTAGCTAAAATTTAGTAAAATATTAGAATGCTTAAAATATTTAAAATTTTAAAGTTTACTGAATAGTTAAAAATAATCTAAAAAAAGCGTTTACGTTGTATTGTTCATATAATTTTCTTACAATTATTTCCCCTTACATAAATCTCACAAACATCAGGTTATCGATAAATATGTCAACACCTCATAAAAATTAGTTTAATTAAAACAAATATTGCTTAATTTTAGTTTAAAATATCGCAGAAATACATTTCATTAACATGAAAGTGGTTGTTTTTATGAGATGTTGACATATTTATCGATAACCTGATATTTGTGAGATTTATGTAAGGGGGAATAATTGTAAGAAAATTAAACTTTAGCGATTTTACTACAAATAAAAAACTCATTCCAATAAATCTAAATTTGGTTTGAAATGCAGCAAAGTATTTCAATCCGAATTGGAAATATTAAATTTAATCTATTAACTTGAAATTAAAACTAAAATAAAGCCTTCAAGAAAGATTTTTCCTTTTGAAACCTTAGGTGTAGCTTTTTTTGGTGGTACCTACTTTTAATAATTTATGAAAATCTGACTCGATTTTTATTATAAATGATTTAATATACTCTGTATGTATTTAATTTAAAATTTAACTTCTTCTGGCAGTATCAGCTGAACTTAGTAAATTAGTGACTGCAAGAACGGCTGACGTTTCTTTGCGCATTGAGCAGTAAATGTCAAAGTAGAAAAAAGCCGATTGCTGAAAAGAAAATTGACATAACTTTTTACCGTCAAAGAACAACCTAAATGTTGTGGTATCCTCCCTCTAAAGTGTCTATGTTGGACTCTTCCGCCTACTATATGATTAGTAGGAGAGAAGGCCTTGGGTGAACAGTCGAACAGTTCAACTGTCAAACTCTCTGCCTTGGCAGAAAGGAACTCGGACGAAGCTTTTCCGCAGGGCAAAGTTTCGTCCGGGGAGGTAGACAGTCCCTGAACCTGTCTAGACGGGTTCAAAGGGAATATTTTTGGCCGAGCCTACGGGCTCAGAGAAACCCACGTTAAACTCGGCCTTGTGCCACATACATTCCTTGTGGGGGGAATGTTAAATATAACAGTCGAATAGATTGAAAGCTGGTCATCCGACACACACTAACTAGTAGTGTAATACTCTTCTGCTGTACTTACTGCTTAACATATGATATATATGCAACACATGTTTTGTTATTTCTTTAACCATTTACTTGGTCACAACATTTTGGCGACGAAGGTTTCGAAGAAACGGACTTCACGTTAAATCCTAAAAAAAAATTTTTGCCAGTGGTGAAGAAAGAAATTCTAATCAAACTCTACGACAAAAGGTTATCCAGTGTTAATTACAACACTGACAGTGAAAAAAAAAATCCTCAAAACAACAGAATTTCTACAAGTTCAATTCACTGGTTGGGAAGAAGGTTGGTGAACCTTGTTATTTTTTCCAAGTCAGTAAAAGAACTGTACAAGTCAAGTAGACTTATTGTTTTCGCTAATAGGGTAAAGTAAAAATTTACCCCCTCTCCCGCTTTTAAATTTTTCAGTAAAAAAATCATAGAAGTCAAACAGACTTATTGTTGGTTAAGAGGGTAAAGAGAAAAAATTCCCCCCACTCATTTCTTAATTTTACGCAGTGAAATGGACGAATTTAAAATTGCAATACTAGAATTGATAAACACCAACAGGAACAACAACTACTGTTGGAACAGAAATATCATGAAAGACAAGCAGAAAACCAGAAGAAATTTGAGGAATTGCACCTATAAATTCAAGTTAGACAACAGAAACTGGAAGAAATGCTCCTTCAAACACAGAATGAGCAAAGGCACTTGTATAATATATCCATCAAAAGCCAAAATGAGGACAGCGAAATCACGTTCCCTCAAAACGCTATATGGAGTGCTATTTAAAACTTCACGTTTTCACCTGAAGAAAAAATTACATTCGGTTCGTACTTTAAACGTTACGAGGACTTATACAATACGGATTGTGCAAGTTGGGCTGACCGTAAAAAGGTTCCCCTGCTTCTCAGGAAATTAGGCACAGCAGAATATACTAAGTTTGTTAACTATATTTTGCCCAAGAAAACCAGCGACTTGAAATTTAAAGAGGCGGTTCAATCATTAACAGAACTCTTCGGTCCAAAAACATCACCGTTCCACAAGCGTTGGAAATGCATGAATCTCACCGGCAAAAAGAGACGAAGATTATACTACTTTCGCGAGTGTAGTCAATAAACACTGCGATAACTTCAAATTGGCAGTTAATCGCCAATAATTTTAAATGCCTGATTTTCGTCCAGGGTTTGATTTCAAGCTTGAAAACGAGCCCGACGTTACTTTACAGCAAGTTGCCGAAGATTGTCAACGTTTCGTGAGCGTCAGTGAGGTTTCTAAAAACATTGAGCTCACATTAAAAAATACGCCAAAGAAAAATTAAAAAGTGTCAACCAAAAAATAATAAAGTTACTTTGCCGTTAAGACCATGTTTCGGTTGTGGTCAATTACATTGGTATAGAGATTGTCCTTTTAAAGATAAAAAATGTTTTAACTGCATAAATTGAGACACAAAAGTTCCCACTGCAGGATTAAGAACAAGACAAAAAAAGTTTTGTAAAAATTACCAAGTCTGATGAACCAGAAAGTTGTGACATCAGGAAATATATTGAAGAATATTTAACAAAACTATAAGGCTACAGCTTGATTCGGGTTCAGACATCCATAACTAGCAGCATGGCCCGGCGTTGTCCGTGCTTAATTCAAAAATCGTACGACTCGTACAGCAATCTCTATCACTTGACTTAAAATATTTTTGCCTTTCCTTGCCTTTAAAGGAGTGCCCTTATCCGTGCTGATGTTGCTACATGCCTTACTTCTTGCCATACATTGACCCGATTTTCAGTGTTTAACAACGCGAAGTCAACTGCACAGAGTCCAAAATGAGGTGAAAAGCTTAGATGTAGTGCAGATGTAGTGTAGTGCAGGCGAGACGTTCAACTTAAAAAAAAACCAAATCCGTATCATCTGTGAGTTAATCGGGTTTTTTTACAAAGTTTGAGTCCCAAATAAAAAATCGGGCTCCGGCATGACACAATGACGTAAATTGAAAAATCGGATCCGGGATGCGGCCTGGGAGAAAGAACAAAGTTTAAAGAAGTGGGAAATGGACTGCTGAGGGCATGGTCAACATGGAGGTTTGTATCGATTTTTGAGTCATGACAGGGTCACACGGCATTCTATGCAAGGCACCTCTAACTGGGCCGCGTAAGAATTTCTGGTTGAATTGTAAAGAACGCCCGAAATTTTAGAATGTAATCCACCCAAATATTGAATGCTTGATTTGTGGTTTTGAATAGAGACATAGCTGAACACAAAAATTCAAATCTTGAGACATCTTTTCGTATGCAACCAATCGCTGAATGCAAAAAAGGGACGCATCTTTTTCCCAAAAGATGGCGCTGCCACTTCCATCACAATGCGTGAGCAGTTAGATGTTGTTGCAACGTAATCGAGTAAAGTTTCTCCTCGAGAAGCTTCCTCAGTTTGACCACTCAAATCGAAGAGTAATAGGTCTTTTCAGTTCTGCAGTGGTGTGTGCAGCTGAAGCATGCATTGTACACCATACTCAAATGCCCAAACGCTAAAATGAGTACTGATTTGCGTTGACGCGCTCGACTTCTTTGACAATTAAACGAATCTCTTCAGTTTTTGCAATACGATTGGGTACAACTTGCCTGTTGATTGTAGTCAGCAATGAAGTATATTTGTAGAAAAGCCGAAGTAGTGGCAGTTTCCGGCAAAAGAGAGCCACTCCGGTGGTAAACTTGAACTTGAACCTTGAAGGTGGGATTCCAACCGACTTCGCGGAAGGCATTACCACCAAAAGAGGTCATCTGGAAGGCACAATTGTACTGTCTGATTTTTGCGAGGAAATGTTTGGAGTCTGGACTGGAACCCCCCAACAGAGCTTTCAACGGAGCAGGTAGCTCTTGAAAAGTTGACAACTTTACCTTACCGTCTGAACAACACAAACCTGCAGACTCTCCAGGCCATTTTCTTTGGCATTGCAATGACCACAGTCAATTGACATGGATCCTATTTGGAGGTCTTTGCGACCGGAAAGCCTCAAAACTGGCTCATAGTTGAACGCCAGCTTAAACTAAAACTGCTTTGGTGGGCTACAGAGCCCTCGCTGTGCATGGCGGCGCTGGTTATCAGTCTGCAACCTTTCAAACCTTTCAGTAGGCCCTTCTACAGCGGAAGTTGAAATTGTATCGCATTGCCGACTTGTGCGCTTTTGCACAGAACTTTCCGACGTCCTTGCAGCAGAAGTTGCAGCGGCGTCGGCTGCATGGCGTACGGTTTTCTCAGTCATGCATTCCTGGGACGTTGCTATGTTGCCGCAGCTTTCGCTGCGTTACGTGCGGTTTTCTCAAACGTAGTCTACTGGGACCGTCTAATGGAAGTTGCAACGGCGTCGGCTGCATTGCGAGTAGTTTTTCGATGCGGGCTCTGTCGAGACCGCAAAAGCGCTAGTGATGAAGCCGCTTTTTCTTTTTTTTTTTTTTTTTTGTCTTGCAAGTGTAGTTTCCTCTTACTTTTCAACGAACTGATTTGCAGTACAAACGGTTGTTACGCTCACCAAGCGTTTCATGTGACAAAATATACTGCCTCCGTTGAGATTGACTGGAAAGCCTCAAATGGACCTCTACCTCGGTTTCCTCCTCCCGCTTTCTCTTTGCCGCAGAGGTTCTTTTAGAACGCCTGTTAAGGTTGCCTCGCCATGGTATTTTGGCACGCTTAGAAACGCTGCCGGGTCGGTCATCGCCACGGCACTCAGAAGAGTGCAAATCAGTGTTTGACGTAGATGCCAGCCGCTTCTCCCCCAAGGAGGCGCACTCAATGGAATCCTGCTCCCGTTTCCTCTTAGCCGGTGAGGCTTTTTTAGAACGCCTGCTAAGGTTGCCTCGCCTGGGTGTTTTTGCAGCCTTTGCAGAGCTGTCGGGTTGGTCATCGTCACGGTACGCAGAAGAGTGCAAAGCAGAGTTTGAAGTAGACGCTATATGATCATCTGTAACCGGAGTTATTATGTGCTCCTCCGCAGTCGCCTGTTCTGCATGTGTAACGTTAACGGTATTAGGGGTCTTCAGTTGCTGACGTGCGGATGTTCGTCGTGTAGGAGAAATTTGAACCAAAACGTGGAAGCGTTGAAGGTTAAAAAGTAGTGAAACACTGAGTTGTACTGGGCCGCGTAGTAAAGGCAGAAGAGAAGTAACTTGCGACAGCAGTTAACTGTCTAATAGCAAAACTGAACTACGAAAAAGTAGAAATAGGTATGGAACGCTAAAATGGACTGGACTGCGCAGTAGAGGCAGCACGCGGAGATAAAATGGGTAATGCAAACGTTTAAGCAAATAGGTAACTTGCGGCAGCAGGAAGCTGTCAATTAATCCAAGGACAGATGCGTTAATGGCGATCAAATAAAGCTGGCTCCTGCATATGCAGCTTGGCTCTAACGCACGTGATGCCGGCGATGAGAATGCAAGGAGCTGCAATGAAGCGTTTGCTCGATTGTTTTCTGCGACAACGGAAAGCCGCTAACCGTTTGCCGGCATTAGCTTTGAAATGGATTGGAAGGAAGCCCTGCTGTTTTAGCGCAAAAACTCCTCGTCGGGTCTGGGTTGCGGGGAAAAGGTTTAAAGAATTGGAAAATGGACTGCTGAGGGCGGAACCATTTTCACTCAGCATATATGCGGGGTTTTTTTTCCAGTAAATACGCGAATAAAGGAAGTACTTATTTTGGTAATATGCGACGATTATTGCAAAAGTGTTGACAAAGTCGAATATGTCATTTGTGGCTCAAAGTCAGACCTGGTAGCAGGGATAAAAAAGCCGAATTTCAATGGCCCTGCACCCATTCTAGAATTTGAGGTCAAATGTTTTCTTCCACTCCACTGCACGCACTGACCTGTTTCTTCCCGCGCATAGCGTGACCTTAAATTAATTTGCATTTAGGAAATACCCGACCGGAAAAACATTTTTAAAGGTTGACCGATTGTTGATTTGCACTCTGTTTGGGGGCGGGTGCTCAGAGTTTAAACTCCACATGGTGACTCCCAATGGCCTCCGCATAAATCCGGTCAGTTTTCGCTAAAAACCTACATGCGGTTCAAGCGCAATCTAGGCGTATCCGTTTTTGGGTTTTATCGATTTTCCGCGCTGTTTAGGGGTCCGTGGTCATGAATCTTCTGGGCAACACTTCTAATGGTAGACTCTAAGAGGGTGTCAAATTTGGTTGAAATGCAGATTTTTTCGATTATCGATTTTTTCGGAACCTGAGTCCTAACTCAAAAATCAAGCTACGTCATGTCCTTACGGCAGCCATTTGCAAACTTGTGGTGAAAACCGCATCGAAATCGGGTGAGAAATGCGGCCTGGGCGAGGTAACAACGCCCACGACAGACACACAGACAGACAACATGAGAAATATAGATAGATAGATAGATAGATAGATTAATTATCAAACATGGAAAAAAAACTGGGTAAGCCGACTTTAAGAACGAACCGAATAACTAAAAGTGTAACTGGCGATTCTATTAAGTTTATAGGCGAACTTATAACGAACGTGACATTCAAAGAAAAAATGTTAAAACTAAAGGCGTATATTATGAAGAATACGGGTAATTTGTTCGGGTCTGATTGGTTAGAACAGTTTCAACTTTGGTATATGCCTATTAACTCATTATATCAAAAAGTCGAAAATTTGACTGATGAAGCAGAAAAGTTGAAAGGTGAAATTAAAAAAAAATTTCCCGTCGTTTTCAGTGGAGGACTAGGAAAATGCACAAAAATCTCTGCTAAGTTTGAGTTAAAGCCAGACGTAAACCCAGTTTTTAAGAAAAAACGTAACTTTCCATTTGCCTCGTTAAATCAAATTGACTAGGAGTTGAATCGATTGAGGAAATGGGAGTTCTGGCAAAGGTTGAATATAGTGAATAGGCATCTCCCCAGTTTATATTCAAAAAAAAAAAAAAAAAGAGTAAAGAAATTCGTGTATGTGCTGACTTCTCTACGGGGCTGAATGGATCACCATTATCCCCTTCCAAGTCCAGAGGATATATTCGCTAAGCCCAGTGGAGGAAAATATTTTTCCTAGATTGACTTAAGCGACACATATCTACAAATTACGTTAAGATCGGTGAAAAGGGTTTTTTTTGTTTTTTTTTTTCGGTGTATTTGGGAATAATAAAGCTCACTGGGAGATAGGAACAATACACAGACAAATTGGTTACATGATTTACATGGTTCAGGGACCGAAGTTTATACACAAACGTCATGTAAACAAAATAGAAAACGGCCCGAAAGCGTAGTCGACAGGGATCCCATAGAAGATGACACTATGGACGTCGTCTTTGACACGTTTGTGGTTCCAATATCGCAATCAGTGCCAGAGCTTAGAAGACCCAAAAGAAAAAGGAAATTTACGGAACCTTTAGAAATTAACCCGAAAAGATATTGAACATCTTTCATTTCATACCATGTTTACAGAAAAAAGGGAAAGAAAGTAAAAAAAGAAACATCTTCTCACTAATGAACTTTGAATTACCAGAAAAGCGCAATACGCATTAGATTATTGGAAATTATTAACATTATAATTTACCATTAAACTTATCCCATTTTTCATTATTTAGGAATAATGAATAGAGACCTTAATAAAAAGGAATGTTCTTAACACATAAAATGTTTGTCGTAAAACTAAAAAAAAAAAAAAATTGTGAACGTAATTCCTGTATATAGCTTTTCAAAGTGATTCTTTCTGGGTTTTTTTTTGTTTTTGTTTTTTGTGAAAAAGGGATTATTTGGTTGAATAAAAAGTATTGTGTGGTAATTATAAAAAAAAGACTCCATACGGAGTCAGGCTGAAAAGGGGGAGTGTTGTGGTATCCTCCCTCTAAATAGTCTGTTGGACTCTTCCGCCTACTATAAGATTAGTAGGAGAGAAGGCCTAGGGGGAACAGTCGAACAGATTGTTCAACTGTTGAACCCGGGCGAGGTTTTGCCACAGGGCAAAGTTTCGTCCGGGGAGTTTGACAGTCCCTGAACCCTTTTATGCGGCATCTAAGGGAATATTTTTGATCGAGCCTACGGGCTCGGAGAACCCACGGTAAACTCGGCCTTGTGCCACATACATCCTTCGTGGGGTGGGGGGAGGGGCTGTTAAATATTAACAGTCGAATAGATTGAACGCTGGTCATCCGACACACACTCACCAGTCTTCTGTTGTACTTACTGTTAATATGATATATCTGCAACACTTGTTTTGTTATTTCTTTAACCATTTACTTGGTCGCATCAATAAAGAGTAACATAAAAGGCACTGAAATGAAGAACACTGTAAAGTTCTCAGCATGACCCTACTTCCATAAACTATGTATTTCAATGGCCAAATACCAGAACTTATTCAAAAGGGTTGAAGAAACCTGCCAAGTTTATTGAACTACTGGGTGAATATGCGGAATATGCATGCAAGTTTCCTGGTTCTAAGTCATTGTTATTGATCGGACCAAGAACTTTTCAGTATCTTATCGTACAAAAATTTAAAATGAACTGGGAATTTGTGAAATGTTTGAATAAGACAAAATATTATTTATTTTCTTTACAATGAGAAATGAGTGATCAAATGAAAAAGTCATTGTTTCAAGTTCGTTTCTAAATTTTTTAAAAAATCTCTTTGGAGGATTAAATTTATTTGGGTAAAGGAGGTGAAAGAACAAAAGGCCTGGTTTCGACGAAAGACGCGGAGATCAGACGCAGAATTCTTACAAAACTGGAGAGTGAACCAGATTTGAGGCTACAAAAATTGGCTGAAGACTGTCACAGATGTATAAGCGTGAAGAAGGACTCGAAAGATATAGAAGAATCTGGCATCGCGCACATACATAAAGTACAACGACAAACACGTTTTTGCACATCCTCAAAAACAAACCAATTTTCCCTCCTCAAAAACAGATCAAACAAATTGTTCTACTTCAAAAAGTCAGTATCAGAAAAAACTACCACCCAGTCCATGCTATTGCTGTGGGACTTTGCATTGGTATAAAGACTGCCCATACCTCTTTAAGACTTGTCAGTCGTGCAAAAAAGTGGGTCATAAAAGTTCTCATTGTTAGACTAGGAAAGAAAGCAAAAGCAGAGTAAAAGTCACGAGGACTGACCAAGCAGACGAGACAACCATACGAAAATACGTGCAAGTAGAAATGTTAAACAGAAAAGTCAGACTATTGGATTCAGGATCGGATTTAACTATTATTAACGTACAAACATGGAGAAAATTGAACAAACCGACCATGTTGAGAACCGATAAAATTGCTAGGTCGGAACTGGGAGAAAAATAAAATTTGAAGAAGTTATTACAAATGTGACATTCAATGGAATGACCAAAAAAGATTATTGTGCATAAACACACACAAAGGATTATACAAGTTCCAAAGATTACCATTCGGGATTAAGGTCGCGCCGGCAATATTTCAACAGATAATGGATACTATACTAGGCGGACTTGATTTCTCGATTGCATACCTGGATGACATACTGGTAAATAGCAAAAACATTGAGCAACACTGGGAACACGTTCAAGAGGTTTTTAGGAGAATACAAAACTATGGTTTCAAGGTAAAAGAAAACAAGTGCGATTTCTTTATGAAGGAAATAAAATATCTGGGACATATCGATGAAGAAGGAAGACGACCAGACCCAGAAAGGGCTACAACAATTAAAAAAAAAATTCCAGCTCCAAAAAACGTAGCCGAATTACAAAGCTTCTTACGATTAGTGAATTATTACCAAGAATTCATTCCAAACATGCATAAATTACGCGCACCTATAAATGAAGAAGGAAAAAGTTTGGGAGTGGACAGATGAATGTCAGAAAACATTTGACAAAATAATTAAGACGCTAAACGCGGATCTATTTTTAGCGCACCATGACTCAAAATTAGAAATAATAGTCGCAAGTGATGCGAGTGCCCATGGAGTCGGGGCATGTATACTGCATAGAATGCCGGATGGGACACTAAAACCCATCGTGCATGCTTCAAGAGCTTTACTACCAGCAGAGAAAAATTACTCACAAATCGAAATTACTCACAAATCGCTGGGAATTATTTTTGCAGTTTTTCATTATGGTAGATTTTTTATTTTACAGACGGACCACAAGCCGTTATTAACAATATTAAGAATGAAGCAGAAAATGATGAATTCATAAAAGAAACAAAAACAAAAATTGCAGAAAAAAATAAAAATATGTCAGTTTTTCATCATGTGACAATGTAATATAACGAAAGAGTAGCAATTCCAAAAACACTACAAAGGCGAATCCTAAAGGACTTCCATATGGGCCATCCAGGAAAGAATAGAATGAAATCGTTAATGCGAACTTACGTATATTGGCAAAACATGGATCAAGACATTACACAGATGGTGGAAAATGCAAGGGTTGTTCCTTAGCAGCGAAAGCACCGCCGATCATCCATAAACCATGGCTAGAGACAGATCGACCGTGGTCAAGAATCCATATAGACTTCGTAGGTCCAATAGATGGTTTCTACTATTTGATCATAGTAGACAGTTATATCAAATGGCCAGAAGTGTTTCGTTGCAGAAAACCTACTTCTGAAACTACCATAAATTGCCTCCACGAGCTGTTTCGGAGCGGTTGATTGTCAAGTCACTGATAATGGGACACAATT